ATCACGATTAATGTAGGCCTTGAATGAAGAATGTCTCTCTGACTTATCTCGTGGCATTTTGGTCTAAACCTAAATCATAAAGTGCTCTTCACAAAATACAACACTTACTCAAACACAACATTTAAGAGGTGTTTAATACAGTCTATAAATATGACACGGGTCTATAAATTCTACTTCCTGTCTACTTAAAATGTATCCAGTGGTTCATGACATATTTTGGTAACATAAGAAATATCATCACACTTCCTCTTTGCGGATTATCTAAGGGTTATTTAATTATAGCTAATTCAGTTATATAAGATACTGCTGTTGTTAAGCTCAGCTGCCATCAAATCATGCAACCTAATTTAACAACTTTCAGTGTTTTTCAATGCGTTTTCTATTTTTCTGTTAAATCTAAGTATATGGGYAGAGTTTTAAATGTCAGGAAGTGAATCCAGTGTAAAATAAAACAATGCTCTGTATGGTGACCCCAGCTGAAACAACATAATGTAACATGTGCATGGGGCTGCATAATGTCTRATGTCTGAGCGTTAAAGTGGAGGCAGCACTCATAAGATTGCTGTGGATTAAAATGTTCTCCAGCTCTCTGCAGGCTGAGAGGATTGGGATGAGGTGCTGATTGATCTCTGCTGTGGTTGGATGTAATCCTGCCTTCCTCTCTTTCTCTGRRGCTGTCCGCAGTCTGGATTATGTCAGCACGGAGGAAACAGCATCTAAGAGTGTGGGGAACGATGGCTCCTGAAGTRAAAGAAGATTGGTTTAGAAAATAAAAAAATGAAGAAAAACCAGGACTCTGCTTTGAGAAARGAAGATGTCTGAACGAGAAGCGACTGAGGGATATCTAAAGCTGTTGTTTTTCCTCTGAATGTGTTGGAGTCATTGCTCATCAGTGGAGGAAGAGGAAGCTCCTGCTCTGGAAACATGGACAGCTTCAACAGCACAGACGCTGCAGCTCAGCCCTTCCAGTTCCTGGTCCAGAATGTGGAGCCTCTCTACAAGCAGTACAAGCCTCCGCCCAGGGACCTCATCCAGTTGCCTAAATCAGTCATGTACCTCCTCATGGCCGCCCTGGTCGTGGTGGCGGTGGCCTACGCCATCGTTGGTCATCTCATTAAAGACCTCATGCTTGATATAACAGGTACTGAAGCAACATAAGCTGCACACTATAATTCTTCTTGACCCGAGCACGAGCTAATGAGGTGTTTAGCTTTGAGCCGTCTGTGCTCAGACAAATGGTGAGGCTGACTTCAGTCTAAAGATTTATTCAACAAAAACAGTTTGGAGAGTTACGTCACAGCTTAGTGAGGGGAAGTTTGGCTACCAAACAGCTCCTAACTTTTTATCATCTGTAGCCTCATATTTTAGCTTAACTTGGCAAATATGAATGTGTTGTGT